CAGAAACATAGAGCGGGAAGGTACTCCAAAGGTGATTTAATTTCCTCTGCACAATGCAGGAAATTCACAGCTACCCCCCCACTCCCCCAGTTACTCCTACTCTATTAATGTTTAGTGCTTGGTGGATGTTTACTGCTTCTGTGCAAACTCATGAAATACATTCAATGCAAATCACAGCAGTCACTAAATCATGCAGGATTTTACCCCTATGTAGTGATTTTCCCTCTCTGATCTGGATAGCCCAGGCCATCCTAATCTTATCAGATCTCAGAAGCTAAGCAGGGTTGGCCCTGGCTAATACCCAGATGAGAGACCTCCAAGCAATACCAGGGTCATGATGCAATGCCAGGCCACTTCTGAATGCCTCTTGCCTTAAAACCTATGAGGTTGCCATGTCAGCCACAACTTGATGGCACTTTCCACCACCACAGTGGTTCTCCCTATGAATCTTATAATCTGTGCCTTCCCATTTCTAGAGCTGTTGTCAAAAACACCTGTTTAATTCAACAACTTCATATAATACACCAGCAAGCAGCTCCCAGCACCGGTGCCAAACAGCGGCATGCCAGACCAGTTAGCTCAATACACACAGGGCCACTTCTCCACCAAAATAACAAAGATCATCCTCTGGCCATGGCAATGGGACTCACGGCATGGCAGTAGATGATGGCCACAGATTATTCCCGCCAGGGTCTGAGGACCCCGAGGCATTGGCAAAACAGCTGGAACTCAGCTTACTCCCAAAAGGTCTGGACAAGTACCATACTCCTCTCTTCTCTCCCTCCCTCTCCCTCCCTCCCAGCATACCTATAACTTTACAAGTAGATTTCTTTTTTTAATAAGTGCGTAATGCATGTACATGTAGTAGCTTTACTTTACTTTATTTACAGTCCATGACCAGAATACAAACAAGTAAGGTATATGTAGTAGCAAAGACAATCAGTTTGGGTTATAACTGAGCCTTATTAAAAGCCACTGATTAGAATGGAGAATGAAGCAAGTAGAAGTTTAAATATGTCCCATTTAAATCAATAGGATGGATGCATTGTGGCTAAGTCATGGCCTCTGTTTTTTACAACAAAGTAGGTCTCGCAGGTTTTGTTAGATAAATAGGAAGCTAGTTTACAAATAAGGTTTCTAATTTTTGGAAGGCACAAATCTAGCAAGCCCACCCCACCACCACCCAAGGGCAGAGCCACTGGAGAGAATAAGAAGAGTAGATATACCCAGAGTAGGGTTGCCAGCCTCAAGGTGAGGCCTGGAATGCTCCCAGAATCATGACTGACGCCCAGACCGCAGAGATCGGTTCTGTTAGAGAATGTGGCAGCTTTAGAGTCTGGACTTTACACCGTCACATACTTGCTAAGCTTCCTCCTCTCCCTAAACTCTGCTGTCCCTAGGCTCCATCCCCATATTTCCAGGAATGTCCCTACCTGGAGCTGGCAACCATAGGCTAGAGGCAGAACTGAGAGTTAAAAGAGTAGAACCAAAAGCAAATGGACTGCTATTCCTTGAAGCGATTAACCTGCTAACAGGCAAACGGAGATTCCTATTCTACCACCGGAACAAAGCAAGAAATCAAAAGGGCATGTAACTCAAGCAAGGAAGCACACGATAATTTTCATCCTTAGCCACTACATAGATATTAAAAACACCCATATGCAGCACAAGATTAAATTATTAAGCATTTGACTTTAGAAATTTAGAACACACCCTGGAACCAATGTTCCCTCTAAGCTGTGGAGTCTTGTGAGCAAAAATTCCACTTAGTGAGCTACTGGCATTAAAGCTGTGAGCGGGCGATTTGGCTACTGCAGAAATTAGTTTGCTCTGGAGCCCTCCTTCCCGAGCTAAGACAAAAATGCATGAGCCGGAGGCTAAAAAACTGTGAGCTAGCTCACACTAACTCAGTTTAGAGAGAACACTGCCTGGAACACAATTTCATCCATATTACAGATGGAACACAGTCAGGCTGGGAATCCCTACATCCAAAGGTAAATCAGTGAATTCACAGCACAAAGAACCCAGGCAAGCATTCATTCACACACACACACAGAGTGTCTCTCTGTCTCTACTTCACCCTCTGACCGAGTTGCTCTAGTAGCTGCTTCTGATGAGCAGCTATTTCTTCTGTTCCAGGGCCTGGCCTTGGCATCTGGTGTTGGCACGGTGGACAAAAGCAGACAAAAGCTTTGGTGGTAGGATAGGCAGGATGTCTGTGTTGCCTGCTACCTATTTGCCAGAATCAACTAAGCATATTCAAAAGCCCAAAATGCAACACTGTGGTAGAGTGATCCATGATGATCTAGTCTACAACTTGTGGATAGGCTTGGTAGTCAACCTTGATTTCCTACTAGCCCTCTGTAAAATCCAATTCCACCGCAATATTACTTCACACAATAATTCCTAAACTAATAAGGCTGTGTTAATAAAAGGGAAGGATCTTAAAGAACTAAACTGTGTTCTTGTGATCTTCAATCTCATCTAAATTTTATTTTAATGTTTAAAGTGCGGTTAATTTTGCAACTTCCTGACCATTCTGTCCTTCCCTCCCCCCCCAAGCAAATGCATCATTTTTACAGCAGGACAAATACTACACAACATACCCATTTTCTGATAAAGAAAATTATTTTCACAGGAACGTGAAGAAATTTGGGGCAATCCCCAAGTCTTCATATCTGGGGTTTTGTTTGTAAAAGGTACGCATTGTATAGTTTTCGAATTCACCCTGTGCCTTCACTGTAAAAAGGGACAATAGAATGCTCAGTTTAAACTTCTGCCCCAAATAATTTATTAGTTTAAAAGTCTGCCCAAAATAATTCATTACAAAAAGCAATAAAGACTTCCAGATTTCCCTAGAACAAGGAGTTCAGGGCCCCTTAAAGTGTGAGATATTTTGCATAACAAGAGTTTACATAGTACCCTCCCTGACCTGGATAGCCCAGTCAAGCCTGATCTTTTCAGATCCCAGAAGTTAAGCAGGGTTGACTCTGGCAAGTACTTGGATGGGAGACCTCCTTGGAATGCCAGCAGTCAGGAGGCGGGGGAGCCACCCCTCTGAATATCCTCCAGGCCCCCAGTAGGGGTCAGTCACCAGAGGTTGCCATGACTTCCAGGTGCGCGCACACACATGCACATATAAAAAGTACAAAAAAATTAAAAAGAGTTCACAGTGTAAAGTCCACCTTTTCATATGCAGCCTTTTCAGCTAAGAGGAGGGTCCAAAGCTTAGCCTGTAGACAGCCCTCAAGTTCAGATACTGATATCTCCACATGAAATAGTCTCTAGCAGCAGTGCTGGAAACCAGCTGTATTTGAGACCCTGAAATCCATTGCTGGTCAAAGTAGACTATGCTGGACTGGACAGACAAAACAGTCTGATTTGGACAAGGTAGTTTGGTATGTTCATGGCTGAAATCTTACTGATATTCCACTTGGATATAAGTGTGACTAACTTCCTCTGAATTGGGATCACTTTGTATTAAGGCGATACAACCGTTTATCTGTGGTGTTTGTGACAGTGACTGATTCGACTGTTACTGCAGATAGATTAACAAAAATGAGACCCTGCATGAAATATTATTGTAAGATTTTCATAGAACAAGAGTAGTGTTAAAGGTAAAGTCAGGTTTTATTAGGACAACTTTATTATAATAAAACATGTAGCCTGTGAACTACTGAATACTTTCATGGCTGTCTGACGACCAACAAAGAAAAGGAGGGTTGAAAGTAGACTTATAAAATACAGTTGTATCTTGCTGTTAAATTGAAGAAAGAAGAGTGAATCCAAAATAGGAGAAATGGTTTAGAAAGTAAAATATAGTGTACCATCACAGAAATGCTTCCATGAGCATCCTACCTCCTTGCAAGACTGGACATGCCAGTTTTAATTGAGCATCCTACCTCCTTGCAAGACTGGAAATACCAAACAGTTTTAGCACCAGGCCTGACCACCAAAAAGACTCTTATGCATTGAATAGGAAGTTCCATCACCTATGGGGCTCAGTCTCCCCACAAAACAAACTTTTTTAGCTCAACAATTTAATATGTATTGCCCTGACCTCGATAGCCCAGGCAAGCCCAATCTTGTCAGATCTCGGAAGTTAAGCAGGGTCGACTCTAGCAAGTATTTGGATGACAGATCTCCTTGGAATACCAGAAGTGGGAGGCAGGGGCAGGCTTTACTCAGCCACCTCTCTGAATATCCTCCAGTCCCCCCCCCCAGTAGGGGTCAGTCACCAGAGGTCACCATGACTTCCAGGTCCATACACACTCACACACGCACACATGAAAAATACAAAAGAAAACCCCAAACAATTCAATATGAATCTAACCTTAAGTACCAAAACTGATTTTGGTTATTGAAGTTTACCCCCAAAATGGAAAAAATCTGGTTGACACTTGGATGGATCCACTTGAGGCTGCAATATCTCCTAAGGGGGGGGGGGTTATGTGCAGCCCTTACAGAGATGTTGCTTGATTAACTGGATGTGAGAGACAAAAATCAGTATCTGACTTCACAGGCTTTTCTAAAGATTGTTATTTTTCTACATTAACTGTAAATCTGCTGGATTTCTCTTCAGCGTGAACAAGTGAGAATATAATTCTGTGTTTTCCTCTGATTTATATGCCCTTCCTACTTGATTTTTAAATCCTTTTCTTCCAGAACCCCTAGCCCTTCTTCTGTTCTTGTATTGCCGTCATCTCATTTTCAACATCATCTCATATATCACTATATGTAGGTTCCAGAAAAGGGAATATCAAATCCAAAGTATCAGTTACCAGCCAGTAAATAGCAAATATTGATTAAGATGTATAGATTATCAAATACTTCTGAGTATCCAATAAGATTATAAAATGCTGAAATCATTTCAAATACTGTTGCAAATGTCCGATATTAGATATCAAATGGCTGACGTCAAACAATGTTTGATGAATAGCTGATCAAAAGGGTAGGTATTGGGGACAAAGGGAATAAGAAAGAACTGCTTCAAATATTACCTGCTCTGGTTTGATGGGTTCAGTTGTTGTGAAGATGTCAGAATAATGTTGTCTTTCAAAGACTCGGTCCAACACTTCTAACTGTTGCTGGGTGAAAAGATCTCCCCGCATTTGTTTCCGAAGGAAATCTCTACCCGGGAGAGAATGGCCGTTTGGTACTGGAGACTCCTGAATACCTTTCCAAGAGGGAAAAAAAAATACAGATACAGATATATAGTTGTTATAATGGTAATCACTTCTTTTGTTTACATGTGATTTCTATATATTTGTAACGGAAGTTATAAAAGTTAGTTGTGAATTTTCTTTAATTTCATTATGACCTTCGATATATTTAAGTGTATGTTTTTATAGTAATAAGAGACATTTATCCCAGAAGAGGCACGGGGAAACACTTCAAGAAGATCATATAGCTGTTGAATAACTTAGGGTAGTTAATAAAATGTGAAAGCAGTCAAAAGTATCTATAGCATATGACAAAATTTTCGCAAAAACACAATTGTTAGCCTCCTAAAGTAACTCCATACTGCAGAACAGTAAATATAGTTCTGAATCCAACATAGAATTTCTGCAGGCACAAATTTTGTTGATTCTGTCACCCACAGGAGTTCTCCCATGGGCAGCATTTGGATAGGCATTTGAGGCTTCATCTGGTGGGGGGGTTTGGTGAAAACACCCCCCCTTTTGCACATGCAAAAATTCTAGGCAGGATCCAAGCCACAGGGTACATGAAGCCATATTTTTTAACTTTATCAGTTATATAGTCATAGAATAGTGCTACAGCTGGTACTTTTAAATTCAGTGTAAAGCCTTCACAGACTTCAGTGATATACATTTCTTCGCTGCTGTTTATTGGTCTGCATTTCAAAAGTAGTGCAGAAGTTTGGTTATCTGCTTCATTTTAAGAAAGTCAAGAATATCTAAATTAGGAACAATCAGCAGGATCTGGATCTAAAAGCAATTTTATCTCCTGGCCTTTGAACCACTCTTTGAAGAATCAGAACTATTTGAAATAACCAAGCAAAGAATTAATTGCATTCATACTCTTGTGTGGATTTTTCTGAGGTTAAAAAGAATTTCTACTTTTGAAGCCGGATATTGTACATTTAGGCTATGTTGCTAGCAAAAACAATAATAATCACTGGTTCTGTTCTCTTTTGCTTGTTTATTTTGCTTTCTGGTTTAAAGGGGGGGAAATTAATCTGTTCTTGTACTTGCATTGTAGGATGCCTGAACCTAAATAAAAATTATATTCTGGCACACCAAAGGGCAAAAAGGAACAAACACATAAAAAGCACAGAGTATCTTTCCCCCGCTTCACCAAATAATATAATGTCTAGCAGAACAAGTACTGGGTTTAATCATCCATGGCTTATAAAATTAAAGCTCCGGTAGGTAGCTGCATGATAGCAAAAGGCCAGAAGCCCCTTTCTACAGAGGATGGAAATGCTTGTTTTAAATTCCAGGTTAAACCAACATTATTTGCAATTGGGCTTGAAAGTTATATATTTATATAACACTAGTGGTGTGGAAACCAAAAAAAAAAAGTTCTGCTTCGGCTTTATTGAAAACGATAGCCTCATTCTCGTAGAGCATGTGCATTAGTTAAGTGAAGTTACTCAGATGCTATCATTACTGTTATTGTCCAGATTTCTTCACAAGTTTCATTCTGTAACACCAGGTCCAGAATACAATATGAAGGGGTATAATACAATGCTGTTGCACAAGGTTAGCAGACACAAGGCTAGACTAGTACGGTTGCCAACCTCCAGGTAGAGGCTGGAGATCTTCTGGGATTACAAGTGATCTCCAGGCAACAGTGATTGGTTCCCCTGGAAAAGAAATGGCTGCTTTAGAAGGTGGACTCTATGGTATTATACCCCTTTGAAGTCCCCCCCCCCAACCCCAACCTCCTCAGGCTCGACTCCCAAAATCTTGAGGTATTTCAGAACCTGGAGCTGGCAACCCTACAGCCTAGTCAATCTAGGAACAAACACATAAAAAGCACAGAGTATCTTTCCCCCGCTTCACCAAATAATATAATGTCTAGCAGATCACTTTGCTGAAGACAACAAAGGGGCTTAATACTGGAATAGGAGTGCCAGCCTCCAGGTAGGGCCTGGAGATCTTCCACTATTCCACTTTATCTCCAGGCAATTAGAAATCAGTTCCCCTGGACAAAATGGCTGCTTTGTTGGTTGGGTTCTGTAATGTACTGAAATGGCTTACATTCGCCTCCCATGTTAAGCTTCGAGCCAGACGAAGGCTCCTCCGCACTCACACGCTATTGGTCGCTCAACAACAGCGACCAATCTGAGAAGGACTAATTCCCTGAGCGGGAAGAACTCTCATTGGTCCTTATCCGCACAACCCCATTAGTTGTTAATTGTAAATGGGTGTGGCTATATTAGCCCGGGAATGTTTAAAAGGAGCCTAGCTCCCAATGTTAATCTGTTCTGGTTATGAATGCTTTAAGCGCTTGTTCGTACCTTCAATAAAGCTGATCACTTTGCTGAAATCACTCTCCGGATCTTTGTTAGCGGTGATCTAACAGGTTCGTTGGCATTATACCCTGCTGAAGTCCCTCCCCTTCCCCAAACCCTGACCTCCCCAGGGTCCACCCCTCAAATCTCCAGGTATTTCCCTACCCAGAGCTGGCAGCCCTACAGCTAATTGGATATATAAGTGGCCAGATCACATGGTTCATCCCCAGATTTTTGTCTGCTCACATCACCAAGTATCCAGTTTGAACATTAACCTGCCCCTCTGCAAGATTTTGAAGATGGAGTAGATACATCCTCACCATGTTTGGGGAAGCCTGACATCTTTGCATTGTTCAATCCTGTCCTTGTAGGGGTAGACATCCTAGGAACCATATGCAAAGTTCTTCAGAGGAACAGAAGAACGCCAGCGGAGTAAACTAATAATACATCAGAAGTACCCTAGCTGTATATCTGCTCATCACAAAGAAGTGTAAAATCAGAGAGTTACAGCTGTATCTGCTCTGCTTGGACATAATTTACAGCTGCGTCATGGACAAGATAACTACCCTTTCACTGTTTCTGGTGTTGTGTTTTTAACAGAATCCTGGGTCTGATAAATTTAGCAGGTGAAGGCTTTGTTGGCAAGGGAATAAGTAGTAGATCAAACAGCAATTGAGAGGTAAGCTGGGTGGCAACCACTTTTCCAGATGTGGCACTTTGCCTTTGGAATGCCCTTCCCCTTGAGGCTCACCTGGCACCTACATGACTTTTTTTTAGGCACCAGATCAAACCATCCCTTGAGGCTCACCTGGCACCTACATGATTTTTATCTTTATCTTTATCCAAGCTTTTAATGAAAGGGTTATTTATGTTTTTAGCTGTTGATCTTATGAACCACTTCTAGCCTGATGGATTGTTTTTGAATACTATTTTATGCTCCCTCCCTCCTCGTCTTTTAATGCTGTTTTTTATCCCTGGTTGTCTTGCTGTATTGCTGTCTTTAATACTGATAATATTTATTCTTTATTGTTGTTATGATTTTCTGGTGTATAGATTTTACCTTGTGAGTTGCCTCAAGCAGATGTCTGGGGAGGCAGCATATATATTTTCTAAATAAACATTTCTGGCCTCCTAAGCTGAAATATTTCAGTAGACTGTCCTTTTAAAAAAAGGCAGAATTGTCCATCCCTCTCTTATTCCATGGAATTATAGGATAGTCACCATTTGTCTTTTCAATACTAGGTCAAAGCAGAGCAGAACAAGGTCATTTATTCCTCTCTGAAAGGGCACTGCAGATTAGCAGAATTGATTACCTTATTGCTGAATTAATGTGGGAGTATATCACTATTGTTTTAGAAAGGTAAACATATTGGGCAGTGTCCTACCTTCAGGTGGAGTGTTTTAGAAAGGTAAACATATTGGGCAGGGTGGAACTTCCTCCACCCTAAGGAGCCTTCCTCAACTCAAATGGTTCTTCCTCCAATAGAAGAGCCACTTTAAATTGGAAAAAGGCTACTTAGACTGGAGAAAGGCTTCAAACTCTGCTTAGTGGAGAGGCCAGATACAAGCCACCCTTTTTTCTAGCCAGGGAAAGAACATACTTTTTAGAGACATTTATTTTGAAAGAATGTGATGTGGCTGCAATTAGTGTAAGGCCATTACTAAGAGATTTTACAAGAAACATCTTGTACAAAGACTCATCTAAGAAGACTACCCTCTTGGTAAAGTGTTGGGCTACGATCTGGGAGGCTCATGTTCAATTATTCACTGAGCCAAGATGCCCACTAAGTGACCTTGGGCCAGTCTCTCTCCCCCCCCCTTCAGCCTACCTACCTCACAGGATAATTTTGAGGGTAAAACAGAGGAGGGGAGACCAGTATATGCCACAATGAGCTCTTTGGAGGAAGGGCAGGATAAAAAAAGTAACAAAAAAGGACTTTCTAACAGTTAGAGTGGTTCCTCAGTGGAACAGACTTCCTCGGGAGGTGGTGAGTTCTCCTTCCTTGGAGGTTTTAAGCAGAAGCTAGATGGCCATCTGACAGCAATGCGGATTCTGTGAACTTAGGCCAATCATGAGGGGAGGGCAGGAAGGGTTGCCTCAGTTCTCGTGGCCCTTTCTTACACGCCCAGGGAAATGCCGATCGCCACTTTGGGGTCAGGAAGCAATTTTTCTCCAGGCTGGTTTGGCTGGAGATCCTGGAGGTTTTTTGTCATCTTCTGGGCATGGAATAGCAGTCACTGCGAGTGTGGAGGGGAAAGTATTTGTGAATTTCCTGCCTTGTGCAGGCAGTTGGACTAGATGACCCTAAAGATCCCTTCCAACTCTATGATTCTACCTTTTATAGACCCTTCGTAGCCGCGTCTTCAGTTTCAGTACTGTGACGCACAAAGCCACATACACAGCTGTCTCATAGTCACATGTTTTCTAGAATTGTTTGGTTTCTATTTCCATTGACAGGTATATCCTGCTTTTATTTCATTTACGTATTTATTACTTCATTTATACCCTGCCTTTCCTGCCAAATGGGGAACCAAAGTGGCAGGAATTGTTCTCCATTTTATCCTCACAACAACCCTTTAAGTAGGACTGCCAGTCCACGGAGATCACGGGGTGCTGGGCCCTGCCTTTTTGGCAATGTGCGAACACCATGACACCACCTCTGGTCCAACCCGGAAGTAACGTTATCACACCAGGA